GGGGGGCGGAGGGGAGGATGGGGGAAAAGAAGGCTGCGGCGCATGCGCAGTACGGCCCTCTCGACAGCTGTGCAGCGTGGACCTGAGCTTACCTCCAGGCTGTATGTCGGAATATGTCCAGCGCATTTATGTTCCTTACCCAGTCTGATCTTGCTCCAACTCTGCGGCACTTTTTCTGCTATCCTCACTTTATGGAGGAAAGAGAGGAGAAGTTAAGAGACGAGTCCAAAGTCAAACAGTTTAGCACCTGTTATGTCCCAAACACTGTTCAAGGGGATGGGGTTAGTGAACAAAAAGCACAAAAATCCCTGACCTTCTGGGGGGGCTTATCTCCTAGTGGAAGAGATACACAGGTAAATAAGGCATGATGCAAATTTTAACAAGCGCTAAGAAAAAAAAACTAAACCAGTGTAAGGGGGTTGGTGAGGGAAAGAAGAGAATTAGATGATTAGATTTGAACCCCCGCTCTTACACTCTGTGCCCGTGGCCTGGTTACTTAACCTCTCTGGCTTTATTTTCCTTGTCTGCATAGCAATTAAAGTACCCTCCTCATCTGATCGTTCTGAGGACTAAGGAGATGAAACATAATCTTTAGAGTCAGGAATTAAACCACGTGTTTCCTATGTGCCAGGTCCTCTTCTAGCCACTTTACATGTTATAGCCTCAGTTCCCACCACAACCCTACATTGTAGTTACTATTACCAGCTCCATTTTTAGAGATGGAGAAACCCAGGACAAAAGGACTTTTCAACACAGGCCCCCTTCAGACTGTAAGTTACCCTTGCCTCTCCATAAGGGCTCATAAACCTCATGCACACACACACACACACACACACACACACACACACACACACACACATGCATCTTATACCAGCAGTGTCCAATAGGACTTTCGGCAATGATATTCCCTATCTGTGATATCTAATAGGACAGCCAGCAACCTCTTGTGGCTATCAAACACTTAAAAATGACCTAATCTGCCCAGTGGGGTATGGTTCAATGGTTGAGCATCGACCTAGGATCCAGGAGATGGAGGTTTGATTCCAGGTCAAGGCACATGCCCGGGTTGGGAGCTGGATCCTGAGTTGGGGGCATGCAGGAGGCAGCCGATCAATGACGATTCTCTCATCATTGATGTTTCTAGCTCTCTCTTCTTCTCCCTTCCTCTCTCTGAAATCAATAAAAGATATATTTTTTAAAAATTACCTAATCTGACTAAGGAAATAAAATTTTAATCTTATTTAATTTTAATTAATTGAAATTTAGGCCCTGGCCAGGTAGCTCAGTTGATTAGAGAGTTGTCCCAATATGCCATAGTTACAGGTTCCATCTCTGGTCAGGCCACATACAAGAATCAACCCATGAATGCATAAATAAGTGGAACAACAAATCTCTCTCTCTCCAAAGCAATAAAAAATGACTAATTGAAATTTTAAAAGCCACATGTGGCTTATGGCTACTATATTAAACAGCTTGGTCCAATGATATAGGCATAACACATAAAACAGTAAGACCATCACATATCCAGTTAGTGGTAGAGCACAGCCAAAGCTCCAAACAGCCTGAGTCCATCTAGGGTACTTGAAACATGGGAAATAAAAAATTGACCGTGTGGGGTGAAGCCAAGTATGGTGTCCTGAAAGTTAGGTCTCAAGAGAGCAAATTTGATTTAGTAGGCAACAGGATGTCTTTGCAGGCTTCTAAGAGACAGAGTCACTGTTGACAACATTATAAGAAAATTTAGGAAGACATGGGTACACATATCAGACAACCTCTATGAAAGGGAAGACAGTACTAAGGTAATCAAGAAAAAAGAGGAATACAGCCTGGCCTGAGAACAGAATGCTCAGTACAACTGCTTTCTGTGAAACACGAAAATATACTGGATGTTGTTCTTTCCTGAAAATAAACTTGCTGGTAGAAACGATGTCTGGGATAATTCCTACACATATATGCTCTAGGAAAGTAGCTAATGGTAAACATCAAATGTTCAGTCTCTTCAATTCAGGCTAAAATAGACATGTTGTTTTCCATTTTGAGATGATTACTTGGGAGAGGTACCTGGAATCCCCAAGGTGACATATAATTGATTTAATAAAGTTCTTGCATAGCCTACATTAGGAATTCAGAATCCTTCCCAATGAAACATACACCAAAGTTCACCATTTGTTTCTTTGGGGAGAAAAATTGCACCCACTCGTATGACATGTATTCCTTGATGTTTCATACATTTCTAGCACATGCGTGTATGGGGGCAGGAACTACTTAAACTGTTGAGTTTCTTGAGATGCACTCAACTCACACTACATGACATTTCTCCTTGTGTTATGATGCTGTGGAGAGGTGATGTGGGTGAACTGTTCATTCAACTCCCATGCATACTTCACTAGGACCTGGCATAAAGACAAGGGGTCACTTTCAAGATGTACAGAAGATGGGAAGCATTTGAAGAGGTTTGCTTTTTTTTTTTTTTTAACTCTTTGTTCTGGATCCACTCTAGCTGTAACATGATCAGCACTGGCTTTCCTATACGGCCAGCAGGTATTCTGGGACAAAAGCTCAGGTTGATTGGCCAGAAACCTTACCCTTGAAGTCTGAGGCACAAAGTACTTTACTTCAATTGCTGTTTGACTGGTGTGATCCTGAGATACATTTGGACACAATTTGGCATCTGGACTCAGTCATTTCCAAAGCCCTGAAATTGCTCACAGACAACATGCAGGTAAGTTTCTTATAATTTTGAAGCATTTGCTATTTATTACAATAGACTTTGAAGTGACTGGAGTTTCTTCTATGTACAAATAATCATGGAGAAAATGGAAAGGAGTTCAGATTATAATTTCAGGAGTTTGTTTGGTTGTTTTTTCCTATTTAACAGACACGGAAAAGTAAAAGATGGGAGTCAGGATTCTGTAGTGGTTAAGAGTAAGCTTTGGAATTTGGCATATGTGAGTTCAAATCATGGCCCTATCCCACCCCCTTACGCATTGAATGATCTTGGGCAAATTACTAAGTAGCTGGATGCTCAGCTTAATTTTGAAGAAAACCTACCTGAAAGAGATACTACCATGGCTAGATGATTAAGGCATGTAAAGTGCTTAGCACAGTGCCTGGTCCATGACAAGTGTTCAAAAAGAGGTAACTATTATAACGGGAGGCTTTGTTGATGGAAGCTCCAATGAACAGAGGTTTAATTCCTTTAATGTTCCCTGGCTCTAATATATTACAATCCTGCCTATGCTCTCCTAGATGGAAAGCTGCCATCTCCTCTGATGAAGTGGCGGAAGCTTGGCACGAGCCTGTCCTAGATCCCTGAATGGGGTGCTGACCAGATAGCAGGAATCTGCCCATATTGAAAGACATGCCAGATGGATTAAGGGGCATTGTCCAAACAGACAATGTCAGAATTCAGTATTAGATTAAGTTGAAAAGTCATACTGGAAGAATGTAAATGTTTGATTGGTAGCCACTGTGCAGTGGCCAACAAAAGCAATGACGTCATTGAAAAATAGCCCTTGACCTTTGTAATTAGAGAAGAAACTGACCCAAGGGCTTCCATTCCAGAAAGAACACCATGTATTTTCCTACAGGCTTTTAGCACAATGATGCCACTTGTTATTTTATATCCACGTCTATTCGGGATTCTTCTTTGCTTCCCCAGTGTTTAACACAGGGCCTTGTATATAGTAAGCAGGCTTTCATCCAAACTGGCAAGAGAACAACTAACCAACATTTTATTCAGTTTCTACTTTGTGCCAAACAGTGAACTCGGCAGCACTGGAGAAGAGAGAGGCGTCATGCCTGCTGTCCAGAAGGCCACGGTCTAGCTGGAGACAAATTAACAAAAATAAATAATAAACACTTAGAATAGTGTATCGCTAAGTGGAATCAGAGGTACATATAGTGTGCGATGGGGGAAAAAACAGAAATGGAGATGAAGGTTGAATGAACATGTGTTCTTTTTCTTATTTAGGTGACATTCTGCAGACTTCGGACTCACCAGTGGTGTTTCATTCTGTTTAATGTTATCCTATTTCATGTCTTGTTTTTTGGGGCTGATTTTGTGGAAGAATACTTTCTGCATGCTTTGCCTTATGTAGATATGAAAGTTCTTGAAATTAAGGATAAGGCAAGAAAATTGAACATGGAGCCCCTAAGAAGTAATCTTTCCAAATATTATATCTTGAGCCAGTCGGAGGCATGTAAAGGGAAGAACATATTTTTGCTCTCTCTTATCTTCAGTAGCCCAGGAAATCAAACAAGACGGGACCTCATCAGGAAAACCTGGGGTAATGTGACCAGTGTCCAAGGGCACCCCATTCTCACACTGTTTGCTTTGGGAATGCCTATTTTAGCAACTACCCAGCAAGAAATAGACAAAGAGTCCCATAAGAATAATGATATAATCGAAGGAATCTTTTTGGACAGCGCTGAGAACCAAACCCTGAAGATCATCACAATGACACAGTGGGCTGTGACTTTCTGCCCTAATGCCTTGTTCATTCTCAAGGTTGATGAAGAGATGTTTGTCAACCTACCAAGCTTGGTAGATTATCTTCTTAATCTGAAAGAACACCTTGAAGATATCTATGTAGGAAGAGTTATCCATCAGGATATGCCCAACAGAGACCCTACTAGCCAAGAATTTGTCCCTCTTAGCGAGTACCCAGAAAAGTACTACCCAGATTACTGCAGTGGTGAGGCCTTTATTATGTCCCAAGATGTGGCTCGGATGATGTATGTAGTTTTCAAAGAAGTACCCGTTATGGTGCCTGCTGATGTGTTTGTAGGAATTTGTGCCAAGTCTATGGGCCTTATACCCATCCACAGTTCAAGGTTTTCTGGGAGAAGACATATCAGATACAACAGATGTTGCTATAAGTTCATCTTTACATCTTTAGAAACTACAGATGCTGAAATGCCCTTGGCATGGAAGGAAATTAATGATGGGAAAGAATGTACACTGTTTGAGACTTACTCTGGACTCATTTCCTGCAAGCTTCTGACATACCTTGACAGCTTTAAACGTTTTCATATTGGTACCATAAAAAACAATGTCATGTATTTTGGTGATTAGCATTTGTTTTTCTTATAGGTTTGTTCTTTTTAAATTACCTCCTACCTTGCTACAGAAAGCATCCTCCTTCTTTGTGTTTCATGCAGTTTTAATTGTACTCAGAAAGTTGCAGTGTTTTTAGTGCCCAGATATACATCATACTGAAATCTCGTTTTAAAGAATTTAAGTTGGTGTAGCATGATTCTTTTCAAAATAAACCCTCTTGTCCAGAAAAGTTAGAACATTAAATTTAATTACAACCAAAAGCCTTGTTTCTCTTTACAACTAGTGAATTTAAAAAAAAAAAAAAAAAATCACATTCTATGGAACTGTCATGACTCAGTGATAGCAGTGGTAACTAATTTTTGAGAATGCTCAGAATTAAAGAAAAGAAGAAATAAGGAATTTGTTTAACAAATGTTCATCTTGTCTGCAAACAGGAAACATTTTCCATTACATTAGTAATCTGAGTGGTGGATTACATTTAATTTAAAGTTTTAGCTGCCTAGTGTATATTAACTTAAACCTCACTAGTGTAAAGACTTAGGTCTCTTTTTGTGGAACGATTTTCAATTACTAATTACACAGTGCTTTACAGATGGGATGCAACACATTCACATTTCTTGTTATGTATATATACTCTATACCAGTTTCCTAGGGATGCCATAACAAAATACCGCAAACAAGGTGACATGAAACAACAGAAACTTACTTGCTTGAAGTTCTGGGGACTAGAAGTCTGAAATCAAAGTGTCAGCAGGGACATGCTCTCTCAAGCCTTAGTGGAGAATCCTTTCTTGTCTCTTCTAGCATTTTGGTGGTTGCCAGCAATCCTCAGCTTACGGACTCATCCCTTTCATCTCTGCCTCCACCTTCACATGCCCTTCTGTGCGTCTGTCACGTCATATAATATTTCTTCCGTGCTGTGTCTGTGCCCAAATTTCCCTCTCCTAAGGATACCACTAACTGGATTAGGGCCTACCCTAATAACCTCATCTTAACTTGATTACATCAGCAATCAAGCAAATCAATGACTTAACTATCTTGAAATAAAGTCACATTCACAGGTACCAGGGGTTAGAATTTCCATGTATCTTTTTGAAGGATGCAATTCAACTCATAATACACACTTCCTGATTTCTCTTGTACAATAACTGGGCACAAAATCAGTAGTTTACATCCTGGGTTCTTGGGATTTTAGGTGTCCCCACAGGAATATACTTTGAAAACCTCTCCATAAGACTTGTTGGTTAAATTTTTGAATATGTTACTAAACCTTACTGGGCCTGTTTGTGTACGAAATCAGCCTTGTAGGGATTATGGACTAAGTGAGATATGGCAAGTGTTTAGCATTAGATTTGGCCCATAGTTAAGTACTCAATAAGAGGAAGAAGCAGCATTTAAGAGCACGAGTTCTGAGTTAAACAGCTTAGTTCCAAATATCAGCTCCACTTATTTGCTGTGTGACCTTGTGCAAGTCTTTAACTCTTTGTCTCAGGTGTAAACAGGGCAGTAACAGTACCTAACTCCTAAAAGTGGGAGGATAGCAACATGAATTAATACACGAAAAGCTTTTTTAAATTTTTAAAATATGTCTTTATTGATTTCAGAGAAAGGAAGGGAGAGGGAAATAGAAACATCAGTGATGAGTCACTGATCAGCTGCCTCCTGCACGCCCCTTACTGGGGATCCAGCCTGCACCTTGGGCATGTGAGCTGACTGGGAATCGAACTGCGATCTAGTGGATCCTAGGTCGATACTCATAACTCTGGGCTGTGCAACCTGTATAAGGGACTTTAAATTTATCAGGCTTAGTCTTTGTCTGTAAAATGATACTTAACTTGTAAGGCTGTTGAGAAGATAAAATGAGACGAGGCACATTGAGTGCCTAACATAAAGTAAATGCTAAGAAATGGTAACTGCTGTTAGTAATCATAGTAAAGAATTTTGCAATTTCTCCCTAGGCTTTGGTCATATCGAATTCCTTGTAGTTCCTCAAATGTGTTCTCTTGTTTTCATATCTGTACCTCTGCTTGCTATGCTGCTCCTCTGTTCTTCACTTGATTTTCTCCTACTGGGTCTTCAAGATTCAGATGTTTCGTTCTCTGGGAAACCTTTCCTCAAGTCTAGAGTACATGTTTTCTGTTTTCCTCTTTTAGTGTATTTACTATATACTAATTTTCTATTGACTTATTTTTTTCCACCATTAGCCACTTGCTACCTGTGTGATCTTGGAATAAGCTACTTCTTTGAGTCTGCTTCATCTGTGAAACAGATGTAAAAATTAATGAGATAAACTTAGCACTTAGGACGATGTCTAACACCTTCCCTAATGCCAAGTACATAAGCAGTAAATAAGTATTTATGAAATGTAAAACAATAACTTGCAATTTTTATTTAATCCTTTAAGAAAAATTATAGGCACAAAATCAGAGTGAGTATGTAGCCATACATAGGAGAGGCAATCTTCTGAACTCTGATGTTAAATAAATAAAAATCAACATCATGAATGAGATTAAGCAGAAGTCACCTTAAAGAGAATGTTTCTTCCAGGACAGGAAAAGCTGGCTGAAGCCTAACTAGTTATGGAAACATGGAAAAAGGAGACTCAGGGATACCAGAGATGGCAGAAAAGAGATGCTCAATCTGGAGACAAGAGGATTCCAGTCATTTGAGAGCTGTTTTGTTTCAGAGTAGGGATGGCTTATCAATGTCGCCATGGCTTAAAAGAAACCTCTCTCTAATTCTGAACTGTCATACTCTGACAACCTCAGGCAGAAACTTCCCGACTGGTGATTGGTGCACAGAGTGCTTTGCCCGTTAGAGAGCAGGACACTGGAAAACAGACTGGAACAATTTTTGACAATGAAAAGAAAGTGCATCCTTTGCTAATCAATGAGATGGCATACTGGTTTATAAAAGCATTCCCTCTGTTCTGACTCCATTATTAGGAGTTTGTTTCTCTCTCTCTGATCAACTCAATATCAACTTGATGGATTTGAAAATTTAAAAGCAAAACCCTCAACAATAATGACCCGCCAATAAATAAAGAGAGTCTGGGGAACTTTCTGAGTTAGCATGTTATCAGTCCTCCTCCCCAAAAACCACAACAGAGTAAAATTCATTGATAAATAGCAAAAAAGCATCAAGGAATACTCGAAACATTTTAAAAATATTTATTTTTCAAAGGAAATATAGTAACAAAACAAAAAAATGAAGAGACCTTATTCAAAAGTATTTATTCTTCGTAAAGAAAACATAATTTTAAGATCCTATATTACTTGCTTTTCAAAGAATATTTATATATCCAAGACTTTGTAAGTGGAATCACAAGGGGAAAAAGACCAGAAAAATAAATAAAGAGGTGGTGAAAAGAAACAATTTGGTTCTATTTCAGTTGAAGCAGATTTTACTTTATTTATTTAACTTACTTTAAATCCTCCTTGTAGGATGTTTACTGATTTTTAGAGAGAAGGGAGAGAGAGAGAAACATTGGTCAGTTGCCTCCCGCACGCACCCGGAATGGAATCAAACCTGCAACCTTTTGGTGTACGGGATGACGCTCCAACCAACTGAGCCAGCCACCCAGCCAGGGTTGAAGCAGATTTTAAAATAAGAGTGTCAGTCCACGAAAATTTTCTGGGAGAACAAAACTTCCATCTTCTTGCAATCAGTATGGCAGTCGAATATGAAAAACATGTATCAATTATGACCAAGTTTGCCTGCTCTCTTGGTTTCACATTGTATGGCAGTGTAGAAACACATCAAATGTTGGTGATAAAATTAGGTTTGGCACTCTGATAATTCTGGGGGGATAGATGTCTCTGTTTTGTAAAATATAGAGGGAGTGAAATGCCATAGAAGTTTTGGTCCAAAAATGATCTAGACTCTAGAAGAAATCATTCAGCTCCTTCCACTGCTGTTGTGGAAACAGGTTTCACATAGTATGGACCTTCACTCAGGTAAGTTCTGAGCCTTAAATAATTTGGGTTCCCAAAGATTTCTGCAACTGTCTTGGAATTGGCCAGTGCTTTCACCAGTTCGTATTTGGCATCCTTTGAAGCTTTGTCATGCTCCACGGACCGGTCCATCACATACTCTATAAAACCTGGACTGTTAAACATAAGTTTCTGAGCCCAGGGTTGGTTTGCAATGGCCTGAAATGGAAGGCAGAGAGAACATAATTCCTTTGAGCCTTAAGAAGTTAAGTTTGTTAGTGGGATGGCACAATCCTTAGAAAGAAATTTGGCAACATGAACCTTAAAAATGTTAACCTTTTGCTTAAGTAAATTTCCTCCTGGGAATCTGATTTAAGAAAATAATCTAAATATTAAAAAAAATATTTGTATACAGAAATATTCATCACAGTGTGACAGTTACAAAATAAATTTCTAATAGTTAGGGTATGGGTAAGTAAATTATGGTATACAGCAATAAAAAAATTTAATTAAATATTAAGAATTTTTATAAAAAATAGGTAAATCTGTTATATAAAAAAATAGATACAAATTATATACATGGCATAATTACAATAGTGGGAAAATAAAAACAAAACTAGAGAAGAAAAGACTACCTGAAAGAAACTCTCACACATGTGCATAAGATGGTATTTTCTTTTCCTTTCTTTTTTAAATCCTCACAGAGGGTATGTTTATTGATTTTTAGAGAGAGAAAGGAGAGAGAAACACTGATCAATTGCCTCTCGTATGCGCCCCGAACAGGGATTGAACCTGCAACAGGTATGTGCCCTGACTAGGAATCCAACCCACAACCTATTGGTGTATGAAATGATGTTCCAACCAATTGAGCTACCCAGCCAGGGCAAGATGGTATTCTCCAGAATGTTCATTGTAGCACCATCTGCAGTAGATACTATCTAAATCTTCATTTACAGTAGAATTATATATATTCATGGCTATACAGTGAAATACTAATGACTTTCTAACTGCCTCTTTAAAATAGATAAATCTTAATAACAAAACACTGAGGAGAAAAAGCAAATTGCAGAATGATAGGAACGG